TTTGTTATGTGTTCTCATCCGCACAGTATACCTCATTTTTTTTCTATTTCTTTCCTTTTAGATGGTTTCAAGAGGAGGTGTCATGGCTGGCTGCAAAGGTTATTTTTAACAATATTAGATTGAACATGTCCTAAGCCTGTCATTATCATACAATGCAAGAAGCCCAGCCTCTACACCTTTAACCATTTTTGATAGGACAAACAGTGTTGAAATCTATTTACCCTAGATAATGAAGATCAAGGAATGCATTAAGGTAAAAAATGTTTAGGTAAAAGTATTGCACGCCACACCATCCTCTGTCTCACCGCGACGAGCAGTAACCAGGGTTCATCAAACAGTATGGGCGTCAAAGATACTCCATAAAATGTTGGCCACATGTAGTGGCTAGATGTCCATGTGCTGTAGCCCCACTGGCGCGTTTCGTGCGATGCACGTTCTCAAAGGGCGCAGGCCCTGCGCCCTTTGAGAACGTGCATCACACGAAACGCATCAGTGGGGCTACAGCACATGGACATCTAGCCACTACATGTGGCCAACATTTTATGGAGTATCTTTGACGCTCATACTGTTTGATGAACCCTGGTTACTGCTCGTCGCGGTGAGACAGAGGATGGTGTGGAGTGCGATCTGACCAGAGCTTTGATGCCAGAGATATTCAGAAGAGTATACCTCTCTACATGCGTATTTTATACGCACTTCTGGTGAGTGCGCACTCTATTCGCTCCTAGGATTTTTTCACCCCTCCTATAACCATTGACTTGGGATGTGGACTGTGTGTGTGTTTTAACATTTCTGTTTTGGCGCACTGTTTACTATTGTACCTATTTTCTTGAGTATTTATATGCATATATACCTCTACAGAGCATTCTTTTTGCACTCTGATTCTAAGCGCTGCACCTCTCTTTCTCCCTTTATTTGATCATTGTAAGGTTTTTTGGTTACCTTTTTCGGTGTTCTAGCTGCTTATACTAACCTGCTTGTAGCGCTCGCTATACCTTTGTTACATCTTAGGTAAAAGTATTGCTTCCTTCACCCTCCTTATACTTACCTACGTTCTCACTCGATCCAGAGCTCTGCCCATTTGCACCAGCTCTCTTCCCTCACTTCCCAGTTTCACAGGCTATGCTAAGGCAGTGGGAGCCATTGGTTCCCACTGCTGTCAGTCAAATCATGTGACAAGGGAGTGGGGGCAGGGCAGAGTCACGAAGTTTGTGTCTATGGACACAGGCAATGCTCCTTGGGATCGAGACTACACATGTGCCATGATAGGAAGCAGCTACCTATGGTGACACAATGAGAAGTGGTGGAACAAGGAGCACTGGTGGGGGACCTGAGAAAAGTAGGATAAGGCCACTCTGTGCAATTCTATATGTTGCAGATATGTTTAAACCTGTTTGTTAAAAGAAAAAAAGGTTTACAATCACTTTAATTGTAACCCCTCATGTGCTGCTGTAGTGGGTGGAGATAGTGCCAGCTGTGGGTGGGACCCAGGGTAGAAGGGTATAGGAGCAAAACACTGATGACATAATTTCATTGCACATAGCAGGTAAGTATAACATGTCTGTTATTTTGTAAACAAACAGAGTTTACAATCACCTTAATTATGGCAAACGCAGTTGCCCAGCCCCCTCATGAACAAAGAACTGCGTAGCATTTTGCAGGAGGTCCTAAAACAGAGCATTAAATATTTTCTTTAGGCAATGCTATGTGAATGGAGGGACAAGTAACAAATATAAAGAAGGTGGTATTCCTATTTGGATCTAAAAGAGGAAATACACTTTGTGACAATAAAAGATCATTGCTGGTTTTTGGGTATTACTTTGTACATTTCACACATTTTCCTTTGTAAGTATGAATTGTAGTTGGCTTGCACATATGTTGTGAGCACTCATTGGGTAGAGAGGTTGAAAATGTTAATCTAGAGTATAGGAACAGGAAAAATCTGCAATACTGTGAAGACACATTCTGCTATCTAATCTCAGGAAAGAAACTTAAAGACTGTATAGCAAATGAGGAGAAAAAAGCAGGTTTATCACTAACATAACATTCAATAGAATCTGCCATTACATCACTGCTTTCTAATCATTATTTGAATTCCAGTGCTAATCATATCTAGCGTTTCCAAACAAATATTTTCATTTCAGATTCTTTCTCTGTCACTCCATTGTGGAAAGTGCTTAAGATGTGAGCAAATAACCATTTTAATATCAGATGTGAAACCACAAGAAATGAAAAAAAAAGATCTGTTTTATAAACCATTATAGAAAAATAAAGTATTGATTTATTGTACAGTGACTTGTAATACTGCTTGACCAACAAATGGTAAAAAGAATACTTTTTCAAACACCAATATTTCAAAATGAGTTAAATGATTAACATACAGTATGAATTTTATTCTCAACATACAGAAAAAAACTGTAAACCGCAAGAATGCAATAAAAACAAACCAATTTTATTTAGTAAGGTGGCTGAAAAAAGCAATCAGGGACCAATCAGAAATTCAGGAATCCTCTCTTAGCTCAATTAAACAGTCCTGTAAAATCTGATTGGTTGCTTAGGATTACTGCATTCAGTGCACCCTTTCCCTCTGCATTATCTCTATGAATAATAATAACATGAATGTCTGGCTAATTTTGTTTTGTTTCGGATCGAGTTGGAACAAATTAGGATCCCTTGCAGCTTTTTAGTATTATCTGGGTTTCTTTTACAAAGAATTTCCCTTACTTGCTGTCCGGGTGTCACCAGACAGGAAGTGAGGGAAAAATGGGGACACACCGCCAACAGGTTCTAATCCTTTGCCACTCTATCCAAAACTAAAAAAAAAAAAAAATTAAATGCCTTAAAATATTTATAAATAGGTGAATGTGACATTTACCAAACATTTGGTGCAGGTGAAATATTTTGTAATAGAAAACATATGCATCATGTAGATTCACCTGCATTAATTAATGTTTGAAAATTGTGACATTCACCACTTTAGAAATATACCTCTAGGTTTTTAATTCAGTAAAACAGTGGAAAGTGCAATACCTAAATGCAAAATGCATTTGATCACAGCACCCAATCAAATTTAATTTAGATTTTCAAAAAATGAGTTACTATGGGTTACTGCATTTGTTAAAATCCCATTAAACTTTACACTGCCTTACAAAAAAAATTCCCAGCCTAGCTAGTAAAGCTGTTTAATTTATTTCCTTTCCAAAGGAAATGGAAAGTCCTCTGTGTTTTATGCCATAACATAAGCAGCTGCTAATCTAAAGCAGTTTAGTTATAATAAGCACAAAAAAAGTTATAATTCTTAAAATGAACCTACTTTAAAGCTCCAGTTTTAAAATGATTATCTTTTTTTCAGACAAACCTAACATACATGTCAGTAAACAGTCCTTGGTACGCTGTATTTGTTTCAGCGCCCTTTTTAAATCTGGCACTTTGCGATCACTCATTTTATTACAAAATATAACCTTTTCTTTGCTCTACAAATGTCTCTGCATTGCTCGGATTAAAGAACAACTCAAAGATAAAATGATGGAAGACATCACAGACATCATATTTAAAGTAATACATATTCACACAACCCCTAAAAAATATATTATAAATCTACTATCTTTGTCACGGTTATAACACTGCTTGGAGAAAGAATACTAATACTTAATTCATTACAGTGGTTATGTGTTAAGGCACTTGAATGGAGTGCAATTATAATCTAATCCAGTTTAATTAAAAAAATGGCTTATAAAGAAGTGCATTTTAGTGGAATATTAAACATTAAAAAGTCCAGTGCTGGTCCTGGGCACCTTTGCTGTCACAAATCAGTAATATCTCAAAGCAATACATAGATTGCAGCACAGGTGGTATCCTAAACTGTGGCCCCCAACAATCTATTGGATACAATAGCTTCTTTGGTATCACATTCCAGTCTTCCTGACACCACAAATGGCCACGTCTGTAATAAAAAAAATGACAGTATCAGATGGCTGTTAAACAACTTTCTTAAATATATACCTTATGAGGGCAATGTATAAGACCATAAAATCAGTAGCCATTGGGTGCAAACTGCAGTAACCGATAGCTAGCAATGTTCAAACATTTTTAAAGTTTACAGAATTTAAAAAAAATCAAAGATTATATCGGATTGATTTTTACATAGTACTGCATTTTTTTTGCATTTTTTAAAAACGAATATTAATAATTCTTTTCATGTGAATAAATGTCTTGCGCTGCATGTTTTGCCTTTATTAATAAGCTTGATTGGATACATAAAACGATAATACTACATAGAAGTCTGAATTTTCACATCGAACTAAATATTGGGTTTTGTTGTTTTTTGGTCTTACCATAGTTTAATATACACATTGAAATCTATGTATTTATGTCTTACTTGCCAAATGTGTCATTTTTGGAAATGTAGAAAGATGCCACAAATTAAAAAAAAAATAAAAATACAAAATATATAAATAAAAAAAAAAATTATTATATATATATATATATATATATATATATATATATATATATATATATATATATATATATATATATATATATATTATTTTTTTTTTTTTTTTTTTTTTTTCCACCCAATATACACATTAGGGGAATTTTACTAAACCTGGAGCACTCTGAATCTGGTGCAGCTGTGCACGGTAGCCAATCAGCTTCTAACTTCAAATATGCTTTGACAATAAAACCTAGAAGCTGATTGGTCTCTATGCAGAGCTGCACCAGATTGTGCATGCTCAAGGTTTAGTAAATCTCCCCCATTGCTTCTCTCTCTTTTTTTTAAGCATATTTATCCATTCTTCTATATATCATTGTGCATCCCATATACAATTGCTAACATTTCAAGCAATATAATACATTTAATACAATTAGGTGGACACAGAAGCTTGTCTTGCGGCAGGAAATAATACATTGTACAGGTATAATCAGCACTAGGTTTTACCCTCCTGCACAGTGATCACAGTAATATCATGCATATAAACACACAGCATTGTCCATTACCATGTGGCAGCTCGTGAAGCCGACTGGTGCTGACTGTATGGGAGCTTCATTCTTACCAGGTTGACAGGATGCACATAGCTATTGTCATATCTGTCTTCTTCCTGCAGCAGCTGCCTTAGGTGTGCAATGTAACTGGAGGCCAGTCTCAGGGTGTCCAGCTTGGAGAGTTTGGTGTCAGGGGGCACCCAGGGCAAGCTGGTCTTTAGCCTGGAGAAAGCTTTGCTCAGCACTCTCATGCGGGCTCTTTCCCTGGCATTGGCTGCATTTCTCTGGGATTGCTTGCAATCTTTGGATGACCTGGGTGCTGACTTCTTGTCTGGAATCTGCTGACTGCGACAGGCCCTCTTCTTTTTATCAGTGGAAGTGTCTGCAACTCCATCTTCTTCTGAGTTGTCTGTGGAGTGGTCCAGCAGCAGATCACTGCATCCCGTCCTCTTGGATTTGGGATACTGAAGTTCCAGCACTCTCAGCTCCAGGAGGTCCTCATGGTCACTCAGGGATCCTGTGGACATTATGTGCAATGATCTCTCATAGGACCACATACAGTGACCTCACCTACACATAATGATCCTGACACCCTAAGCTATGCACAGCAGATCCTGTCTTGCACTCTGGATTTCTATGAATCTGAAGGCATTTCAGCAAGGCATCTATATAGTGGGGGGAGGGTGGGAGGGGGTCTGAGTAGGAGTGACATAAGGAGGTGGTGGGGATACTTCACTCTTTTCCATGCTGGTACAATGTTGTGATTAACCCTTCACATTTGGTACCTCTAGACATCTGTGTGCGGAGTCTGGGCAGAGATGATATTTTAAACCACATTAATTCCTCTGACACTCTGACTGCAGGTGCCTGCACAGCTTGGATCTTTGCTGTGTTACAGTGACTTTTTGTCTAGTTCCCAGAGGTTCCCAGAGGAGATTTTGTAATGGTCATGCTGTTGATGAAGTGGATTTTAATTCCTTTTACACATTAATGCATTAGCTGTGTTGGACAATTGTCAGTAAAGTAATGCCCCTTATTTGCTTTTGGAAGATCGCACTGCTGGATATTGATCTTTGTTGGTTAAACTAATTTTGACATTATTAAAGAACAACACAAAGAGTTTTTTTTCTTAAAGTAGTTCTAAAGTTTAAGAGTTTTTTTTTATTTTAAAGTATAAGTTCACCTTTGGACAAAAAATATTACAAATGCACATTTTTTTGCAGGTAAAAAAAATGTGCATTAATTATTTTTTTTTTGTTGCAGAAAGCATATTATCTTTTTTGTTTTAGGAAAACAATGAGGTTTTACAATCACTTTAAAGCAGAACTTCACCATAAAAAGGGATGTTCCGCTTTAACACCTCCTCCCCCCTTCTCTCCCTTGTTTGGAGGTTTGCTTCTTTGAAGTGGACTGGGTACCTAGTTTTAGAAGGACCCGCTCCCACTTCTGCTCTGACCATCTAAATGATTGGAGCAAAAGTCCTTCCATCCACCCCCAACCTTCTGGGACATTTCACAGGTCCCAGGAGGATGCAGGACCATTCATACTGTGCAGCATGGATTGCACATGTGCAGTGGAAATCTGGCTGTGAAGCCACAAGTAGTCACAGTCGGCTTCCCTTAGTAAACATGCTGGTGCAGGGGACCTGAAGACCAGGGAAGAACCGACCCAGGGTGAGGACAGTGCTGGATCCCTGGTCAGTTAAGTGTCCTTTTTTTAAAAGTCAGCATCTACATTATTTATAGCTGCTGACTTTTAATTTTCTTTTAATACTGAAGATCCTCTTTAAAGTTGTCCCTATATTAGTAGTATTGTGTATGAAAATTTTTGTTTTAAGAATGTTCGTTCAATTTTCTAATGATTATTGGGGTCAAATCGATATTAGTTTTTGACCACAGTGACAAGAAAATTCTAAAGAGCAGGACGGAAATTTTTTCTTGAATGATCACATTTCTAACAGTGAATGTAATCTTCATTCAGGATAGTTAATTCACTCCAAAATCGAATGTTAAAAGAAAACTTTTTTTAAGTACTTTCGTATGGCATTTGTCAAGTCATTGAATGTGCAAATGAGAATTTTCATATGAATGTTCTAATAAACATTAGTTACAAAATGTGCTAGTGTATGACCAATTTAAAGCTGCAAAGCATAATGCATTCACTTACCGTGGCAGCTGCTGCACAAATTAGTCACCTTACAGTCTCTTTGCAGCATGCTTTTGGTCCCAGGTATGTTTCTGATGTAATGCTACCCCTGTAGGAGCTGCTGATTAAGATGGGTTCTCCACCTCCATAAGAACTTCAGCCCCTCTGACACGCCAGAGTACACAAACACATAGCTTCACAGAAAGTCACTGACAGTAACACCAAGTGCCACCAACAATGCTATTTTCACAACCACAAGCAAAAAATCAATTATTAAAAGACAAATTTTATATATTTTTTAAAAACAAAGTTAGCAACAGGCATGCAGAGTTAAAAGGGTTAAATTAATGATAATGGAAATAATACACTTTACTATACAGGATACTGTAGAACAAGGTGTAGGAAGACACTTGCCATCCAGATTAGCATAAACATTAACAATGCAACCTAAAGTGCAGCAGTGAGCAGTAATAAGACCGGAACTATAAAACCACTGAAGCTATACTCCAGAGTGCACTGTTGTTGGCTATGCTAAGCCTAAAACCATCTGGTAAGCACTGTCAGAGCCTGGGAGGTCAAGAATGGTTGAAAGAAAACAGAATAGAATTTGTGGGCAAGTTATATGACAGGGAAATCCTTAAGATGTTTCTTCTGCCAGCCGGCTATCGTTGGGGCCTCTTAAGAAGCATTGATGCACTTAATGACATTCTTTGTGAATTTGCATGTAGTTAAAGTATACTATAGAGGTGGTATAGTCTTTTAGTCTTTGCACAGATGCAATGTAGATGTGGGTCAAGTACTGGGTAAAGCTGCGTCAGATGTAGTGACAGTTTAGTATAAGCAGTGGTATTGTTAAGTAGACCTTTTCAATAAAGGACATCCATTAGAGTTGGTAGGGTGCAAAAAAGGTCTGGTATAAATGTGGTATGAGCTAGGTGTATTTGGCTCCCTGCTTTCAGCAACTCAGTCTCTGCTAGCAGTGTAATTATTGAGCCAACAGCCCCTCTCACCAATCTCCAGGGCACAGCTGCAGCATCCACAGTGGGAGGGGTCCCCTAATTCTCTTCCCAGAAGCCTCCAGCAAACAGTGATGAGAGTAGGTGGTGGTTGAATGCTTCAATCCCCCTGAGGCAACTGTACAGGTGCTGCTGGTGTGACCAATGCTGCACTGCAACAAGTGTCCTCACTCTCAATCACAGGATCAGGTCCTGCTGGTCTGGCCTCTCCTGTCTGTCAGCATACAGCCAGTGGTTCTCTCTCTCAATGCCAAAATGAGGAAGTTCTTAGAGCAGTCTCCTACTGCACAGTGTCTATGGGATTTGTAATCTAAAGACTCAATAAGCTCCACAATAAGGCTTACTTCTTGAACATCAAATTCCAGCATCCTCGGCTAGGCTTTTCAGGCTATGCGATGATGTTCAGAAGCCCACCAGAAATGTAACTTCCTTTGGTTGGCTTGCTGAATCTCCCAGAAGTCAGCACTAAGACAGATGTCAGATTTTGGGCATACCCTGCAAGTGCATCAGCTGATTGATAATTTAAATCACTTCCAATCATATTTACTTTCCATATGAGCACAGACAAAAAGCTCTTTCTTCAGAATAACAAAAGGTAGAAATCTACTGCACAATTTGATAAAATCCTTGCAATGAAGACACTTTAAAAATAACAAAAGCTGCTTACAGGTACAAAGTGCAGGCACCCACTTACCAACTTTCAGTACCTCCTGCTCTGCCTGGATAGTGGGCTGCTCAGACAGGAAACACTCCAACAGTCATGAGTATTGTCCGGACTTGCCCAGTCTATCCCAAACCTCATACCAGGGGCGGACTGACAACTCATGGGGCCCCCGGGCAATAGGGGATCATGGGGCCCCTGTGTCCTTGCCCAACTCAAAAAAGCCTACGAAAAAGGTACCAGGGGCATCTCATGGGGCCCTCTACTGACCCCGGGCCCTCGGGCAGTGCCCGAGTTTCCAAATGGTCAGTCTGCCCCTGCCTCATACATTCCGATTGGCCCATCATTATAATAGGCTGCCTCACTGGCCAATAGGAATGTTCAGGAGGCAGAAAGGGGCAGGCACACTTGAACACTCTCAGGAAAACACTAAAGCTTTGCCTGTTAAACCTGCAAACAAAGCAGGAAATACTGTACTTAATGTAGTAATGTAGTACTAAAGCCCACACTTTTTTACTTTGGTGCTTTCTCTGCATTCAGCTCCAGTGCTGTCTCCAGTTCCAGCATGATTCCCCTTACTTCTTGCTTTCACAGGAAAAACCGAGGACAGCACAGCCAGGAGTTGATTTACTAAAGCCAAATAGACTATGCACATTTCTGCTTAGTCAATGAGGTGAAGCTCTGCTGACTTCCATCATCAAATCATCTGCAAGCAAATATTCTGTTTTTTTTTTCCTTGCATGTGATTGAGTATTCTTTGCAAACTGAATATTCACATAATTTACTAAGCTCTGGCGCAAATGCACTTGCTGAATGCAACTGCACTTGCAAAGTGCACACTCTATTTGCCTTTAGTAAATCAACCCCTTAGGCTCCTACTGCTGTCAGTCAAACTCCTGTGAGGAGGGAGTGAAGGCACGGCTTACTAATGCTGTATCTCTATAGACACACACAGCCTGGCACAGGACCCAAGGAGATCCCACATGCATGGGTGCCTCTTCAGCACCCCCTGGCTACAGGTGGCACCTGAAGGAAGGAAGAGCCAACAGTGCCAAAGAGTACTGCCATAAGAAGAGAAAAATAAGCATTGTGTGCAATATCATTGCAGGGAGCAAGCAGGGGTAGCGCTCACCCTCTTAGAAGACATTTGAGTCCCTAGGCTCTTTCCCAGTAATTACACCCGAAGCCAGGCTCACAGTCACTCTTTTGGCTCAATAATCAGTCTAGGGGTATGCTTTTCTGATGCTTTATTGGAGAACTTGATCTTAGGTAGGTATAGAAACTGTGGGATAAACAGCCAGCAACTTTAAGCAGCAGCTGGAGGACACTAACTCACCTCCTTAGAATCTGAGCACAGTCCTTGCAGCAGCAGATATTGGGCTGAGCTTTACCAGGACACCATGAGCAATGTCCCCTTTGAGCAAGGCTAACTCGAGCATAAGAGGCATAGTAGCAGCACACTGTCTCTGGGATCTCTCACAACGATCTGTACTCACTAATGTTCTTGTATAAATGGATGCCTCCTTCCAATATCTTCCAGACACCTCTCTTGTGATCCCAGAGGAGAACCCTCTAGCTAGCTCAGCTAGGACCTCAATAAGAAAAAACACGTGGCAGGCCTGCCCAGAAGGGCAGCACCCCTTCAGGCTGGGATCTTCTCATCTATGACAAGAACCCTTCTGTTCTAAGCTTGGATCTCCTCCTCTAGGGCAAGAACCCTTCTGGTCTAAGCCCA